TTGTACTTTTTCTGTGGGGAAATATTCGATCAAAGCCTTTGTCCAGGGGCTAGAGCTCAGGGGTAGAAGGCTGTTGCCCATTTTTAATAGGATTGGGTGTTTTGGCTCTGTTGTGTTTTAGTTTTTGAGACAAGGTCTTGCTATGTATGTGGTTCAGGATGGTCCCGAACTCACTATGTAGCCCAGGCTGGCCTTAAACTCATCTTGAGCTTCCTGTATCAGCCTCTCGAGTGCTGGAATTATAGGCATTTGCCACCAAGTCTGGCCCAATCTTCTGTTTCTGAGTGTTATGTTTTGCTTTGTTTGAGATATGCTTTCGATATGCAGCCTAGACTGACCTCAAACTCAAAGTGATCCTCCTGCCTCAGCCTCCCGAGTGCTGGGACTACAGGCATGTGCCACCACCCCCTGCTGTACTGCTTCTTGATGACGCAATGAATCTCTTCTCCAAGCTGCACTAGGGACGAGGAGAGCCTCAGTTCTGCTTTGCTGAGCACAAGCTCAGTGCTGGACTCAGGGTACATGGAGGTCAGTGGGGTGCTTTGCTCCCCTCAAGCTGAAGGGAAGTACAAGCGAGGAGGTGGCGCCGGGCCAGCGTGACAAGGCCATGGTGTGGACATGTGCGTGTCAGCTGAGCCCCAAAGTGACCTCAGGGTGTGCTCGGTGCGTGAGGAGAGGATGAGCCTGTATCAAGAAAACAGGGCTGGGGATATAGCTCAGCGGCACAGTGCCTCCCTGGCAAGTGTGAGATCCTGAGTTCAATTCCCGGTACCAAAAATAAAAAAAAAAAAAAAGGAAGACAGAACCTCCTGGGTATGGTGGCACACACTTGTAATCCCAGCACTCAGGAGGCTGAGGCAGGAGGATCACTGTGAGCTTGAGGCCAGCCTGGGCTACAAAGTGAGTTCAAGGTCAGCCTGAGCTGAATAGCGAGACCCTGTGTCAAAAAAAAAAACTCCCCAAAAGGAAGACAGAACCTGTGCTGAGGCCCAGGTGCCTGGTGTGCAGGGCTTCAGGGGCAGGAAGGGTGTGGAGTGAGGGTGGCCTCATGGCTGGGGTGGGAGGAGGGAGGACTGAGATGGAGAGGTAGGCCCTGCCTCTGTAGGGGCCCACAGGGGTAGGACTAAGCCTGGTGGGACGTTAAGGCTACATTTAGGAGGGGTTGGGGATTTAGCTCAGCGGCACAGCACCTGCCTGGCAAGCGCAAGGTCGTGAGTTCGATTCCTGGTACCGGAAAACACCCCCCCCCCCCAAAAAAAGGCTACACTTAGGAGCAAGGAGCCTGAGGGGTTTTTGTTGCTGTTTTGTGTTTTTTGAGACAAGGTCTCACTATGTAGCCCAGGCCGACCTCCAACTTAAGGCAACCTTCCTGCCTCAGTCCCCCAACTACTGGGACTACAGGTGTACGCCACCACACCTGGCTCCGGCTGGCTTCTTCACAGCCCTGCAGGCTGACCCTGTCTTGGCGTGGTGATCTTTCCTGGAGCCCCAGTGGGGGTGGGGAGGAGAAAGGAAGGTACTGTCTGTCCTTCCGGGCCGCCACACACCTCGGGGCGCCCACAATAAACGCTGTGTTTGTTTGAGAAAGTACTTGGCTTCAGCTGTACTCTAGCAGGAGGAAGAGCTCAAACAGGTACGGCAGGACCGAGGTGGCCCGCAGCACGGGGACGGGGGCGGGGGTGGGGGTGGGGTTGGACAGAGCCCCAGCTTGGTTGTGGGGGGACAGGGCGGTGGATTTGAAGAAACCCAGGGGCTTTTTTCTCACCACCAACCCACGTCCCCAGGCAGAATGTACGCCAGATGTTAATGGCAGGGATGCACGCTAAGAGGCTCTCCCATGTGCTTAGCTCCGGGTGGACCTCTTCACGCCACCCGGTTCCACAGACATCGCTGACCAGTGTCCCCTGGCCCAGGGCGGTGCACGGCCCGCGGTGATGACGTGGGACAGGGAAATCGATGGCAGTGTGCACTGTGTGGGGGAGAGCACGGAAGTTGCTAAGTTGCCCAAGCTGGGCTCAAACTTTCCATCCTCCTGCTTCAGCCTCCTAGAGTGCTGGGATGACAGGCGTGCGCCCAGTTTGGGGCATGTTTTTTGGACAGCGAATGCCTTGCTTTATTCTAAGAACTTCTGGGTCTCCTTCCCTGGGACCCGGCCCAGCGTGTGGTCTCTGGAGAGGTTTAGGATGGACTGAGGAGCTGTGTGCAGATAGGAGATCACCCCCCTCCCTCTTCAGGTGCTGAGGCTGCACCTCCTCTTTGGGATCCATCCCCACACTCACCGCGCCTGGTTATGTGTCATCCTTCCTGTCTCCTTCCCTTGCTGGAAGAGAGCTGGGCCCCTGACTGCATGGTGGCCCCTTTACCAGGACAGGAGCCCAGGTTTCTAGTGGAAGCTAATAACTTGTTTGGAGTATATGAGATGTGAGGTTTTTTTTAAAAAGGTGAATGTTTAAATAAAAATCATTACAGTAAAAGACATGTTGCCGTGGATTCCCCTAAAGATCTTCCCCTTTCCTTTTATTTTTTATTTTTGTTTTTTTTTTCTGGTACTGGGAATTGAACTCATGACCTTGTACTTGCCAGGCAGGCGCTGTGCCGCTGAGCTAAATCCCCAGCCCCCTCCCCGCTTCCTTTAAACGCACTAATCCCATTGGTTTTGCCACTTTCTGAAGCAATTCTGGGAGTCCCCTTTCTTAAGTGTTCTCTCTCTTTCTTCTCTCTTCCTTTTTCATTTTTTTCAGACAGGGTCTGGCTATGTAGTGCAGGCTGGCTTTGAACTATGTAGCCCAGGCTGGCCTGCAACTCACAGCGATCCTCCTGCCTCAGCCTCCCAACTACTGGGATTACAGCCATGCCCCACCATGCCCAGTATTCCTGAGCATGTTTATGAGGTGTGATAAAAAATACAGTGAATGCTGCCAATGAGAGCCATCCAATGGAAAGGCAGGCCATAAGAAAATGACGGTGTGGCCTCATCCATCTTATTCACTGGCTCTGGTACCGAGCGACTTTGGACTCTTCCCTAAAGTCAAAATGATCATGGAAGGGAAATGTCTTAAATCTATTCACAACATCAAGGACAGTGCAACTAAAGACACTCAGGAAAGAGGACTTGCAGAACTGCTGCAGAAAGTGGCAAGAAGGATGGGCTAAATGTGTTCCAAGTGAGTGGGGGGGACAATAGGTCATAAATTTTTATTTTTTAATATTTTATTTTTGTTTTTTGGAGATAGGGTCTCACTATGCAGTTCAGGCTGGTCTTGAACTCACTTTGTAGCCCAGGCTGGTCTTGAACTCACAACGATCCTCCTGCCTCAGCCTCCCGAGTGCTGGGATTACAAGGGTGCACCACCACGCCCGTCTGCCAGACCATCTGTGGCCTTGGACACTGTGGCCAACGCCCACCTCCTTGAAACTCTTCTCTCCCTTTTGTTATCTACACTGACCTCATCGTTCCCCCGTCTGCACGGTAACGACTCAAGTTTGCCAGATCTCTGCCTCTGCCCTTCTCCTCCCTGGATGTCCGTACCTGGATGTCCCAGAGGTTTGCCACACTCAGCCTGCTCCAAATGGAAGCCACCAGCTCCCCCAGAACCGACTTTGGTAAATGGCATCCCCATCGATTGGTGGCCCGAGCTGGAAAGTGGGTCCGCCCAGCAGTGGTGGGCCTGTGGCACACGTGCTGCGGCAGGCTATCTGTATCACTGAAAGCTCAGAAAGGTGCCAGGTGCGGTGGCACATGCCTGTAACCCCAGCACTCAGGAGGCTGAGGCAGGACTGTCACACGTTCATAGCCTGAATTATAGAGTGAGACCCTGTCTCAAAAAACCAACCAACCAACTAAACAAACAAATAAACAACAACAACAAAAACCCAAACCACACCACCACCACAAAGAAAGAAACCTCTGAGAGGTCTGCCATCACTGGTACACCCTCGTGTCTCACTCCATGCATCTGAAAGCTCTCAAGCAAATCGTCTGAATCCTGTTTTTTTCTGGTACTGGAGATTGAACCTAGGAAATGTCAAGCCTTGTCCCAGTTCTCTTGTTTTTGAGACAGCGTCATGATAAATTGCCCAGGGTGGTCTCTCACTTTGGATCCTCCTGCCTCAGCCTCCTTAGTAATATTACAGGACTGTACCGCCACACCTGACTCAATCACCCACCCTACCCCTCTTTTTCAGTACTAGGGATTGAACCCAGGGCTTCACACTGAGCTACACCCCCAGCCCTTTTTATTTTTAATTTTGAGACAGGGTCTTACTCAACTGCCCAGGCTGGCCTTGAATTTGCAGTCTTCCTGCCTCAGCCCCCTCGGTAGCAGGACCACAGATCTGTACCACTGCATCTGGCTGCATCGTGCTCGGTCTCCCGCCATGCTGCGGCCGCACAGGGAGGGCCGGATACCTCCTAGAAGGCCCCGGGCTGTTCTGAGCGCCGACAGAAGCCTTCTTTCCCTCTGAGACGCAAGCTTCTCCACGGTGTTTTCCCCCGCCCCTCTGAGACTCATTCAGAGTTCTCCCTTCCCTCACTGAGGGTCCCGGGAAGGAGGCGGGCCCTCTCTTCTCTTCTCCAGGTGAGCAGGTTTTGACGGGCTCTCCTTTGGTGGTGTGCTTGTCTGAATAATAGACCTGTTTGTTTTCCTTCTCCGAATATGAAATCGCAGTATTGAGTGTGCTCTTTCACAAGGCACACGGAGCCCGCGCACCCGCGAGGATCCCCGGTCCCAGCCCAGACCCATGGCACATCCAGGGGGAGAGGGACCCCGCACCTCCCCGGCCTCCCCCAGCCGCGCAGCCACGTGGTCCTGCCTGGCTCGGCCTCACAGGCTCCGCATGCCCGTGGGTCTGCAAGGGACCCGCCCCCGCTCCCGGGCTCAGTCTGCGCCCTGACTTTACTGAACCTCCGTCTTGCTTTTAAGCTCTGCGCCCAGCTGAGAGAAGCATCCAGCCCAGGGCAACCCCTGAGGGCGCGTGCAGCAGGGAGGTAGAGACACTGGTGATTGCAAAAAACAAAAGGCTTTTATTGCAAAATAAGAAACGGCCCTTTTCAGGGCTGCCGGTCCCTGCCCACCGCGGGCTTGGGCGAAGCGGCCCTATGGGCTGGCAAGTAGCTGGCGGCCACCCCAGGCCGGGGCTGGAGAAGGACGGGGTCTCCATGTCCCTGTGGGTCGGTTCCTTCGGCTCCCCGGCCTGCAGCGGGTGGCGGCCGGAGAAGCAGGGGGCAGGGCGGGTCTCCCAGTCCAGCAAGAAGCTGCCTGGCGTCCGGGGCGCGCGGGTCTCCGAGGCGGGCGCTCGGCGTCCCCTGCCGGCTCACACGTAGTCCCGGCGGTCGTAGGTAGTGCTGGCGCCGGCGGCGGGCCCGATGGAGCGCGGCGCGGAGTAGACGATCTTGGAGGGCGCGTACTTCTCCTCGCGCGGGGGGCAGGAGCAGCAGAGCAGCGAGCCCCCCAGCAGCAGCAGCGCTGCGGCCGCCCAGCCCACGTACAGGCTGGAGCCCAGCTCGCGCTTCTGCGACTCCAGCACCAGGGGGTTGTAGAAATCCCGGATGATGGAGTTGGCCGACCAGGACACGGGGATCAGCGTGAGCAGGGAGGACAGCAGGAACACCGCGCCCGCCGTGATGGTGATCTTGGCCTTCATCGTGTCATTCTCGACGCAGTTGGTGCACTGGGCGCCCACGAGCGCCACGAGGAGCCCGAAGGCGATGAGCACGATGGACACGACCATGAGCGCGCGGGCCGCCTGCAGGTCCTGCGGCAGCGCCAGCATCGAGTCGTACACCTTGCATTGCATCTGGCCGGTGCTCTGCACCACGCAGTTCATCCACAGGCCCTCCCAGATGATCTGCGCCGTGACGATGTTGCTGCCGATGAAGGCCGACACGCGCCACATGGGCAGCGCGCAGCAGAGGATGGTGCACACCCAGCCCAGCACGGCCAGCGCCGAGCCGCCGATCTCCAGGCCCATGGACATGGTTGCTGC